CCGGGGGACGAGTCCCCTTCGGCGCCCTGGGCGCCCGGAGAGCCCGGTTTTCCGGCGCCCGCGGGACCCCCGGGCCGCCCTCAGTATCCCCAATGCCCTGCGGCTACCCCGAGGCCTCCCGGGGCCAGCCGAGGGGGGCGGGCGGCAGCTCAGGAGGTGCACCCCCGTCCCCGGCGCCCGCCAAGCGGGAGGACGCGGAGCGCAGGGCGGCCGCGACGTCGCAGCGGTGCCCGGGGCAGGCTTGGTGGCAGCCCTGTCCCGAGGTCAGGCGCTGTGACCTTGGGTGAATCTCTGTGCCTTGTGAGCCTCGTTGTGTCACTGGCTACGTGGAGCGAATCTGCTTGCTGGGGCCGGAGCGGGGTGAAGCGAGGTGATGCCGGGGAAGCGCTGTCTTGCTTTTCGGCGGGCCGCGGGCGAGCGGCAGCTCCGGGCACCCGCTCCCGAGCCCGCAGGGGCCGGGGGTGCCGCTCAGTGGCGCGGCCTTGCCCAGCGTGCGAGACGCCCGGGTCCATCCCCAGCACCGCAGAAACCAGCCGTGGGGAAGCCCGGGCTTGAGGCTGGTGTGTTTTTCCCAGCTGATACTGCCCCAGAGGCGGGGGGAAGTACCCAGCTGGGAAGAGCTGTCACCAGCTTCTGTCCGCTACAGCGAAGGGGACGCAGCTTCCTTCCCAGCCCCTCAGAGGCGGCTGCCCGAAGGGAAGTTCGCTTTCAGCACCGCTCAGGTTATTTTCAGGGGTTTGGGGAGGCCTCCCTGAATGTCTCCGGACGCCAGCGTGGGTGTGGGGACCCTGTAGTGTTTCATGCCAGGGGCTTTCTTGGACGTGTGTGTGGGGCGTCCTGCTTAGAGTGGGTGCGAGGAGGCGAGGTGGGGAGGGCAGAGTGGGGTGGAACCACCTTCCCGTGCTCCTGTTTGGGGGCTGAAGCGAGACCAGGGATGTGTAGACCTGTGGATCGAGGCAGTGCTGGGACCAAAATAGCTTCTGTCTGCGCAGGGAGGGGGCGCCTTCAGATGCTGCTCGGGGATGTTTCTGCTTGAATGGGCGAGCTGAGGTAAAGCCAAGCCAGTGCTTTGCCACACGGAGTCATTCCAGTTCTGTTCAGCGGAAATTTAAACAGATACAGGTTCCCTTTAGATGTACTTTTTAAAATCCTTAGATGGGCCGGGGATATAGCTCAGTGGCGTAAGCGCCTGCCTGGCAAGCACAAGGCCCTGAGTTCGATTCCCGGTACAAAAAAAAAAAAAAATTGAATAAAAAATTATTAAAAATCCTTAGAAAAGCCACGGGCTTCTTGACTTGTGCAATATCGCAGTCTCTCCGTGGACTTGCTTTATAAAGGGGCCCAGGTTGTGAGTGCTGGAAGTGTGGACCAAGGGTTCCTCTGCGTTCAGGATATTACGGAGCTGTGGTTTGTTTTGTTTTGTTTTGTTTTCTCCTACCAGCCTGGCACTGCTTGGCGTTGCAGTCTTTGGGGTTGCGTGGAGAAATTAACAGCTTCTGTTGCCGGGCTGTCTTGGTCTCATGTAATCAGGCTGTTTTTGCAGAGTATATTTTTTGTTGTTCTTGCAGTGTGCTGGGAATAAATGGCTGGCTCTGTGCTCAGAAAAGACATCAGCTATGACCAGCCACAAGGCAGCCTGTATTCTCCGAAAATGTGTTCAGCAGAGATGATGTAACTGCTTCGCCGCTGGCCAGCCTCATTCCTTGGCCCTTGAGGTTACATCATAGAGATTTGTGGTTCTCCCAGCCGCGTTCTGTGTGGGTAGCTGGGAACTTTGCTACTAGAGGAATTTTTAGCATTCAGCACCGGCCCTGCCCTAGGTCGTTCTAACTGTGCTGAGCCTTTCCAAGTAGAGCTGTCCAGCGGATGCAGCTTTGCTGGATGCCTTGCTGCAGCCTCGGAGTTTTGGTGTTTGACTTAGGTTCAGATCCCAAATCCACCTCTTCCAGCCATGGGACTTACGGCAAGTGAGTTGCCCCTTGAGCCTCAGTTTCTTCTTTGATTAAGGTTGTCATGTGGATTTCATTGGGTTTTGAAGATTGGGTTTTGAAGAACCGTTCACACCGGGCCCTCACACATTGAGTCCCCTGGTAAATGGTACTAGCCTAACAGTACGTGAGGAGGAGGATGGGAGAAAGCCGGTCCTCGGGCCTGCCAGACGCAGGTCATATACTAGGTGGGCATGACGGCGGGCGCCTGTAATCCCAGTGTGAGGGAGGCCAAAGCAGGAGGATTGCTGTGAGTTCATGGCCAACCTGGGCCACACAGAGTTCAAGGCCAATTTTGTTTTATTTTGTTTGTCTCTTTGAGAGGGTTTTGCTCTGCAGTTCAGGCTGGCCTTGAACTTACTATGTAGCCCAGGCTGGCTTTCAAGGCCTGTTTGAACTTCAAAAGGAGACCCTATCCCAAAAAAACAAAAACAAAACAAAGCAAAAGGAAATTCCAGTACTGACCCTTTGCAGCTCTGTGGGGCAGGTTGCTCAGGGGCTGAGCCTTGGGTTCCTTGGAGTTCCTTTGAGAATTAAATGGGAGATACAGTTGAAGTGGAAGGCCTGATGCTTGGCACACAGTAGGACCTTACTAATTGTCAGTCTCATTCTCCTTTTCCTTCATTACTTTTAGTATTCCACCCCCCCTCGCCTTTTCTCTCTCCTTTCAGGGTTGGTTTACAGTTCTTAGATAGGTTTCCCAACCTTGTTTTAGAACTTTGAACAGTATAGGCTGTGCAAATCCTTTTTCCTTGTTTATTATTTGCCAGCAACAACAAGGCTGTGGACTGTTTTAGTCTGTGTACTGCAGGAGTGAGCACCTGGGTGGTGGTGGTGGAATGCTACAGGATCGCAGAATTAAGAACTGAGTTTGAGGGTGAAAGATAAACTCGAGGCCTTTATAGGTAAATGGTCACAACTAGAGACCATACTCATAAGTGAAATAAATCAGACCTGCATGTGCAAGCACCACATTGTTTCACTGGTGTAAAACCTGAAAGAGTTAATTTAGTTGGTTTTTAAAATTTTTTTAATTTTTTTTATTTTTTTCCAGTACTGGGAATTGAACTCACGACCTTGAACTTGCCAGGCAGGCGCTGTGCCGCTGAGCTAAATCCCCAGCCCCTGAAAGAGTTAATTTAAACTAGGAGATATGATAGACATTGTGAAATGATAAGAAAGTACTCAAGGGTAAAGGGCAACTGGGATGTGGGAAAAGAGAAGGGAAAGAAGGAAAATTTTATATATATGTATATACAGGATAGTTAACATAGTTGTTCTACTGTCTTCTATTTCTTTGCTGAAAGAAACTGTCAGTAAGTCCTTGATTGATCAGTATTGCATGTCTCTATCTGTTTTCATGAGAAACCACTTTGAAGATATCAATATGTAATACAACAAGCATTGTTAATTTCCTAAAGAAAAAAAAAAATTTCCAGATGTAGTGGCACATGCCTGTAATCTCAGCACTCAGAGGCTAAGGCAGGAGGCCAGTTTGGGGGGAAAAAAAATCAGCCTCTAATGGGCTAGGGACATAGCTGACTGGTAGAATACTTGTGTACTATGCACAAGGCCATGGGTTTGATCCCCAGCGTTGCTAAAGTTGAAAAAACCTCTTTGAATTTATGGCTGATTTCCTTTAAGAAAAAAAACACAGCTTGTCTTTTTTTTTTTCCTTCAGTGCTGGGAACCCAGTGCCTTATGCTTGCTGGGCAAGTGTTTTACCACTGAGCCATTGCCTCCAGCCCCTGGATGTCATTTTTAAATGGCTCTCAGACATACCAGAAAGCAGCCCTGGGACCAGAGGCAGGGTGGAAGCTTCTCTTGCATAAATAAAACCCAGCAAATGCATAGCAGATCAGCAGGAACAGCAGCTCGCATCTTTTGGAATGCCCCATTATTAAGTTTGAAGAGAATGCATATCTTTGATGCTGGGTGCTGAGCTCTACGGTTAAGGGAAAGCAGGCTGTGTCTTCTTTACTGCAGGCCTCTGCCCACTGCTCTGGGCAGGAGGTGGGTGCTCCACAAGTACCTCCTGGACGTGGGAATCATGGCAGTCGGGAACACTGCACAGGTATCAAATTGGAAGGCCAGGCGTGGAGTCTTGGACCCACCTTCTGCTGACCTTGAGCTGCTTGTAGGGTATCATGGCATCTTCTGGAGCCCATTTTTTCTCTGTCTGGCTGATCCCTGGGATTCATAGGAGGGAACCCATGGGAAAATAAAGGAGTAGAATCATATATGCTCACATCTTTTTTTTTTTTTTTTTGGTCTTTTTGAGACAGGGTCTTGCTATGTAGTTCAGGCTGGCCTTGAGCTCACTTTGTAGCCCAGGCTGGTCTCGAACTTGCAAGGGTCCTCCTGCCTCAGCCTCCCGAGTGCTGGGATTACAGTCGTGTGCCACCATGCCTGGCTTATGCTCACATCCTTTGCATCACTCATGTCTCCTGTATTATCAAACCCTTACTGTGTGTCAGGTCCGTCTTAGGTATTGTGGTAAACAAAGCAGATACCGTCCTTGCCTTTTGGGGGTTTACTGGTTATTGGGGGTGACAGTGAAGAGAAGTAAGTGAATGTGTAAAGTTGATAATTTTAGGTGCTGGCTGTCCCTGGGTGACATGACGGGGAGGGACCAGGAAGGTGGGAATTATTCCACATGAAGGGCCAAACAGCATGGTGGCACATGCTTGTAATCCTAGCTACTTGGAAGGCTGAAGCTGGAGGATCACACGTTTGAGGCTAGGTAGTAAAACATAGTGAGACCCTGTCTCAAAGCAGAAATGGCTGGGAGGTGTAGGTCAGTGGTAGCATGTTTGCCTAGCATGTGTGAGGCCCTCGGTTCTGTCCCTGGTAGTGCCACACACGTGCAAAAAGTTGAAGGGTCAGGAAGGGCCTCAGCATTGACATCTGAGCTGAGGCCTTGATGGCAAGGTAACCCTATTGGAAGAATCAGAAAAAGAAACAAAAACAAAACATGTGCAAAGCCCATTTTTTCTGAGATAGAAATAAGCTTGCCGTGTTTGAGGACCCAGGATCTGCGAAGGTGAGGCCTGGTGGGGCAGACTGCTGTGAGCCGTATGCGGCATCTGACCGTGCAGAGCGAACCGTGCTCAGGAGGCAGGATTTCTCCCGAGTAGCCTAAAGCTCGGCTCCTCTCTCCTCAGTGTTATCTGGCACTGGCATGGGGTTCTTCGGCAGGGTAGTAAGTGGGAGAAGATGGTATTTTTATGTCCTTAGGTTTTTTTAGTTTTGTACTGGGGATGGAACCACGGGCTCCATCCATCATAGGCAAGTGTTCTACTCAGCTACATATTTTTTGTTTTGGTTTTTTTTTGAGACAGGGTCTCACTATGTAGCCCAAGCTGACCTTGAACTCATGGCGATCCTCCTGCTTCAGCCTCTCCCTTGCTGGGATTATAGGCATGCACCACTATACCCATGCCCTGTGAGAGTGATTTTGTTGACCTCATGATATTTACCAGGTCCTAGGCCGTTAAGACTCCCGCCCCGAGCCAGAGCTAGAGGACTCCATAGGCCGCCCCACAGCAGCTTCTCTCCCAGCCCCTGCCACCTCCCCTGGTTGTGGGTCTGCAGGTGCTTTTGGAGCACGTGCTGTGTCCCTGTGCAGCGCTTACCTCGTGCAGAGCAAGATGGTCACAGTAGGAGGGAGCTTCTGGTCAGGAAAGGCAAGGCAGGAGGGTGTGAAAACGTACGGCCACTGCCCCGCTGGAGAAAGCTGCCTCGCTCCAGCAGTGCTTTGAGGAAGCTTGGCGTCGTGAGGGTAGAGCCCCACAGAGCACAAGTGACTGTCAAGGGCTTACTCGGAGCCAGCATGCTGCGCAGCATCTGTGCGGATGGTGCAAACACTCACGCTGACTGTGGACTCCGATGAGAAAACACCCCGAGAGGCTGAGTCATTAGCCCAGCAGACTTGGAGGAGCAGCCTGGGTATCTTTACCTGGGCTTCTGGCTCTGGACCCTGGGTTCTTACTGTCTTTTTGTTGTTTTTGACACAGAGTCTCAGTAAGCAATTCAGGCTGGCCTTGAATTCTCTTTGCAGCCTGGACTGGCAATGACCTTACAGGGATCCACCTGCCTCAGCCTTCTGAGTACTGGGATTATAGGCGTGCACCCCCTGCCCCCCCCCCCAGCTTGGACTTCATGCTCTGTGTTGCCTTCCCTGCTCTGGTCCTTGATGAGTCCAGATTTGTCTCCAGCATTGCAGCTCTGAATAAGGAAAACATGAAATTACTTCCTTTGCTTTGTGCTCGGGAGCTAAGCCAGGGCCTCGCAGATGCAGAGCAGGCGCTCTACCCCTCAGCTACACCCCGAGCCCCCACAAAAGCATGAAATCAAGCCAGGGATCTAGCTCAGCTGCACAAGTGCCTGCCTGGCAAGCGCAAAGTCCTGAGTTTGATTCCCGGTACCGGAAAAAAGCAAAACCATACTTTAAAGCATGAAATCCTTCATGTGCTGTTGGAGGCTGTGGGGCCGGGCCCAGAAGCAACCACCTCCCCGCCCCCGCTGTCCCATCTTGGCCTCGGCCTCGGCCACCTTTCTGTCCCTGTGCCCAGCTCCTTCCTGCCTCAGAGAAGCAGGGCGTGGCTGGGAAAAGCGTGGCCCGTGGAGCTACAAGGCCTAGGTGCGGAGCTCAGCTCTGCCTCTCAGAGCTCTGGGCTCTGTCTCAGGTTTTACCCAGGGGCCTGCAGTGGCTCCTGTCTCCAGGCTGCCGAGAGTAAATGAGCCAGCACAGTGGACGTGCTGTGCAGCCTTCGTCCAGCATCGCCCTCCTCCCCGCAGAGCTGGTGCCCGCCCCGCACGCCGGCCCTGAGCCCCGCAGACACTTCCTCCGCATGTCTTCTGAGCTCCACAAAGCCGAGGCCCCCCTCCCAGGGTCCTTCTCACCCTCGCCTTGCATCCGGGGCGCGTGCTGCACACATGCTGAGCGGACAGGCGGATGGGGCCCCGCGGAAACTGGGCCGCTTCTGGGTTCTGCTTGGCCTCAGCGGTGAGAAGTTGGCGTGTGGACCTTTGTGGGTGTGTGGACATTTGGAGGAGTGACGTGCTGCTTGTTTCTTCCCCCAGAGCACCACGCTGGTCCAGCAGGCAGCATGTCAGGGCTTTTAGCGATGTCCCTGCCTGCCGCCTGGAAGCCATGGAGGAGATGAGGTAGCTTCCAGGACCAGATGGGGAAGCCCAGTTCAATGGATACAAAATATAAGGATGACTTATTTCGGAAGTATGTGCAGTTCCACGAGGGCAAAGTGGACACCACTCCCAGCAAGCAGCTGCCCGGCAGCGATGAGTACCTCCGGGTGGCCGCCTCGACCCTGCTCAGCCTGCACAAGGTGGACCCCTTTTATCGATTCCGGCTGATCCAGTTCTATGAGGTGGTGGAGAGCTCCCTGCGCTCGCTGAGCTCCTCCAGCCTGCGGGCTTTGCACTGCGCCTTCAGTGTGCTGGAGACGGTGGGCATCAACCTCTTCCTCTACCCGTGGAAGAAGGAATTCCGAAGCATCAAGGTGAGTCCATGGCAGGGCTGGCGCACTGGGATTCCTTTTCCCTTCCTGTCCCTTCCAGTCCAGCCTGAGTGGGGTTCTGCCCCTGACCGCCTCCCTCCCTGCTGTCAGAGCGCAGGGTTGCTAGGAGGGGCAGGGGCGGGGTGAGAGGCTTCCGCAGGCTTCCCGGTGGGGGGCACGGGTCGCGGCTCGGGCTCATAAGCCTTCAGGTCTTCCCAGAAGGGTCGGAAGGGAGTAGTCTTGGCGGCACCTAAGGGGTGTACTGCCTGAGAGCCCCGCCCCATCACCAGCTAGCTTTTTCCTGCGCTTCTCTACTTGTGGAGGGGAGCCTTCGTGCCCACCCAGAACGCTAGTGGTTCTGTCCCTTGGCCTTGGAGAGGGGCTGCAGTGTCATCTCCTTGCATGGCGCCTCCGCCCTCTGCAGGAGGAGCTACTGAGACCTCCGCTGCCCTCTCCTTCCCACCCGGCCCCCTGAGGGGCCTTAGCCTTGATGCCATCTCTGTCGTGTGTCTCAGAGGCGGTTCCACTTCTCTCTTCTGCCCCTTCTTTCCCCAGACCTACACGGGGCCTTTTGTTTACTATGTCAAGTCCACGTTACTGGAAGAGGACATTCATGCCATCCTGAGCTACATGGGCTACGCGCCTGAGTTGGGGACTGTGTACAAGCTCAAGGAGCTCGTGGAGAGCCTCCAGGTGAAGATGGTCTCCTTTGAGCTCTTCCTGGCCAAGGTGGAGTGCGAGCAGATGCTGGAGATCTACTCGCAGGTGAAGGACAAAGGCTACTCGGAGCTGGATGTGGTGAGCGAGCGCAAGAGCAGCGGGGAGGATGTGCGCGGCTGCTCCGATGCCCTGCGGCGGCGGGCCGAGGGCCGGGAGCAGCTGACCACCTCCATGGCCCGAGTGGCGCTCCAGAAGTCGGCCAGTGAGCGGGCGGCCAAGGACTACTACAAGCCCCGCGTGACCAAGCCCTCCAGGTCCGTGGATGCGTACGACAGCTACTGGGAGAGCAGGAAGCCACCCCTGAAGGCCTCCTTGAGCCTGCGGAAGGAGCCTGGGGCGGATTTGGGGGATGACCTGAAGGACGAGATCGTCCGCCCGTCCCCTTCTCTCCTGACCATGTCCAGCTCCCCCCACGGCAGCCCGGACGACCTCCCTCCCACCTCCCCAAACAACGGCCTCGGGCTGCTGCGCAGCACGTACTTCTCTGCTCAGGACGACGTGGACCTGTACACCGACTCGGACGCCAGGGCCGCATACCGCAGGCAGGATGCTCTGCGGCCGGATGTGTGGCTTCTTAGAAGTGACGCCCACCCCGTCTACCACAAGCGTTCACCCCCTGCCAAAGAGTCTGCCCTCTCCAAGTGCCCAAACTGCGGCCTGGCCTGCAGCACTGCCCTCTGCCAGCGCTGTGACAGCCTGCTCACCTGCCCCTCAGCCCCCAAGCCCAGCGCCTTCCCCATCAAGGCTGCTGCCCTCGACAGCCTGGCCCACGGGGCACCTCTGCGGGAGAAGCACACGGGCCAGGCTCAGGCCCTCGACCGGCTGCCGCCCCTGCACTCCAAGTCCAAGCCCTCCGCCGCGGCCACCTCCCGCTGCGGCTTCTGCAACCGCCCGGGCGCCGCCAACACCTGCACCCAGTGTTCGAAGGTTTCCTGCGACGCCTGCCTCAGCGCCTACCATTACGACCCCTGCTGCAAGAAGAGCGAGCTGCACAAGTTCATGCCCAACAACCAGCTGAGCTACAAGTCCGCCCAGTTCTCCCACCTCGTGTACAGATAGACCCCTCCGCGCCTTCCCGCGACAAGGGCTACTCCTCTGACCGCCGGCTCCCTCCGCGAAGAGGTATGGATGCGACCAGCTGAAGCCGAGGCCTGAACTCGACCGTGTGGGCGGCGGGGACCCGGCGGCTGCACCCTGTGGGAGTTCACTGAGTGACTCGCCTCAGCCGACGGCTCTGCCATCCAACGAGGGAGGGTGGCACGTGCGTTCACATTCAGTTTTGCTGATCTCGCCACTCCCTGTTCAGTTGGGTTTTGGTTTGGTTTGGTTCTGTCGTTTCCTCTGAGGAGGATTTCTGCCTCTGGGATTCCCGCCGTGCCCGCCCCTCCCGCAGTGGAGCCAGCGCCCCGGGAAAGGCCCCTCAGGTCGCCCCTGCGGTGGCGAGCTAGAGGCCTGTTGGCTTGTGAAATGAGCCCTCCTGCCACACTGGGCCTCTCCTGATGGCTCCCCCCCTTGGCCACCCCGCTCCCAAACACAAGGCGCCCGGCCAGGCGCCCCGCTCGGACGCGCCTGCTCTCGGGGGCAGAGGCCCGGCGGGGCGAGTCCAGTATCAGCCGGCGTCATCCTCGCGTTGCCGCCGTACGGTCAGCCCCCTGTGTTCGTGAACGCGGCTCCGACGCCGACGCGTGGACTCCACAGGAGGGCTGACTTCTCCCGTTCTGTTGTTTGCACATGCCCCTCTTACTGTACTGTACATAGATATTTTTGAGATTTATTTTTAAATAAATATTCAACTTGCTATGTGTTTCAAAGTGGTTAAAAATTAATTATGTAGCTATTTATAAAAACGCCCTGGGCTCTTAGTCTTCCAAGGGACGCCTCCTGCCCTTTGCTGGTGTGCCTCCCACCCGCCCGGGGGAGTGGCGTTCGGGGCAGGGGAGGAGCAGAGACCATGGCCGCTGTGCCCGAGCTGGGAGAGCCACCGTCTTCCTGCAGTAACTACTGTACACCTACCTCCAGCGCGCCTCGGGGGCCAGCGGGTGCTGAGGTCTGCGCCTGCGCACTGCGACGACCCAGGGGCGATTCGGGGACCTCGCCCTGCGAATCAACAGCCCTGGTCTTTGGAGCCTGCTGCCCGTTCATCTTGCACTCCAGACTTCCTGAATCTGTTTCAGAAGGAAAATCGCTCGGGTTTCCCACGCCCCTCCACCTCCGTCCTCTTCGTAGTTCCCGGCGCTCCTCTCCAGCAGCACCTGCCGCCCTTCCGCACTAACTGGGCGGGAGCCGGCGGGCGTCCCGCAGACAGACGGCCCCTCGCCTCCGCGCCTGCACACCTGAAGGCCCTCGCCTCCCCGTGGGAGTCACCGGGATCTGGATTTTCCTTTGGGGGTGCAGAGCGGGAGTGAGGCAAGAATTAAAAAATAAGTTGCCTCCTTGTGAACTCCTGTTTTAGCCATAAGTGTTCGTGATATACACACTGTTAGGGATTCCTGCGCAGCAGATTTTCTGGGAGAAGTGTTCACCTCTTGAGCAGGTTTGAATCTGGCTGAATCCTGAGGCCACTGTGAATTTGCCGATGTTCTTCCAACTCAGTTGAGTGGTTTTAAGGTTTTCCAAATCTTCTATGGCTCTTTTATATATATATATACACACACATATATATATATACATATATCTGGTAGATCACATGTAGATATACAATGTGTATATAAAGTTGGATTTCAACCGGCTTTATTACTAAGACCAGCCTGTCGGGGCATTCATCTTCGATGTTCTTCCTTTTCACATTTCAGAACTGGCGATGCCTGGCCCACTCCTGAGAGCTCTAGTTTTCTAGTTTTCCATTTCCAGATCACTCCAGCATTACAGTAACTTAACTCTTAACCAGCCGTGATGCCAGGTCATTTACAGTGGACAAAAGCAGGAACGACCAAGTTGTCCAAAGAAAATAAAGTCCGGTGTACCTACCATCACGGAAATACTGTGTTCATAGACTGGAATAGGAAATACTGCGGCCACGCTCCTCCTTGCTGTGTATCTTACTGTTATGAGGTTGTTGTGATTAAGATAGTTAAGTATATGCTAATTTAAAAACGCAGATGTTTTGCATTTGATTTCTACCAAGAGTTGAAATGTTGAGAGATGATTTTAAACAATAATAAAGTGTCTTCCATTGTTAAATGAAGTGTTTTGGGGTTTTATGTCTCTTCCCTACTTTTTTTGTTAAATTTTATTGGTACATTGAGATACATACAAAGATCACATTCATTAGAGGAAGTTTGTACCTGTACATGATATATTCTTTTTTTTTTTATCTTTTTGAGACAGAGTCTCACTCTGCAGTTAAGGCCTGCCTTGAGCTCACTTTGTAGCCCAGGCTGGTCTCAAACTCACAGTGATCCTCCTGCCTCAGCCTTCCAAGTGCTGGAATCACAGGCATGCACCACCATGCCTGGCCTTCGTGATATTGCTTGATATCCCCACTTTGAAGTTTGAGTTGCTCTGGCTTGGAAGCCATGTTTCTTTCTTTCTTTTTTTTTTTTAGATAGGGTATTGCTATGTAGTTCTTGCTGGCCTTCACTCTGTAGCCAGCCCAGGCTGGCCTTGAACTTTTGGCAATCCTCCTGCCTCGGCTTCCCAAGGGCTGGGATTATAGGCACTGCTACCATGCCTGGCTTGGAAAGCATATCTACCCCTCAGGACGGGACTCCAGCTTCCCCTCCATTAAATTGACAAGTGATAGCTAGCTGTTGAGTGCTGGGGCAAGAGACTCTTCTGTAGTGAAACTGTGATTTCATGTACTAGTTCCAATCACCCTGTGCGGTGGTGCTGGTATCTCTACCTCACAGAGGGGAAGAGGGAGCAGCGTTCGGCCATGCTTCCCAGGGTGGAGTGCGTAGGCCAGCAGAAGTAAATGTTGGCTGACAGGCGTTACCCAGCATTGGGGGGTGTTATTAAAAAAATCAGCCAGCCACGGCGATGCATGCCAGTAATCCCAGCACTTGGGAGGCTGAGGCAGAAGGATTGCCCTGAGTTTGAAGACAGCCTGGCTACACAATGAGTTCAAGGCCAGTCTGAACTGCATAGTGCAATCTTGTCTGAAAAAATATTCCAAGATGCAAAAAAAAAAAAAAATGCTACCCACGTAACTTCCTTAAAGAGTTCAGTTTAATTCTCCTGTCTGCCTCATCTTACTATTTTTCACTTCTCGGTGCTAGGGCTGGAACACGGCTAGTGCATGCAGGGCCTGCCTTTAGTGGAGGGAAAGCAGGCATCACACTCAGAGCCTGGGCAGAACCTTAACAGAGTTTTCATTTACCTTCTGTCAGAACAGGTCATACCATTTTTTCATCTGTGCTAATGATAGATTTCTTTTAAAAATTGATTTAAAGCACTTGGGAGGCTGAGGCAGGAGGTTTGCTCTCAGTTCGAGGCCAGCCTGGGATACATATTGAGTTGAAGTCCAGCCTGAACTATATAGTGAAACCTTGTCTCAAAAAAACAAAAAATAGAAGGTGTTTTTTATTTTTATGAGACAAGGTCTCACTATGTGATTCAGAGTGGCTTTGAGCTCACTCTGTAGCCCAGGCTGGCCCCAAACTCCAGATGATCCTCCTGCTTTAACCTCCCCACTGCTGGGATGACAGAGTGCCTTCAGGCCCAAAGGTGTTTCTAAAAATGAGCATTGCTGGGCGTGGAGGCACACACCTGTCATCCCAGTACTTGGGAGGCCAGGCAGGAGATTGTTACCAGTTCAAGGATGGCCAGGGCTAGCGTGAGTTCAAATTGAGCCTAAACTGCATAGGGAGACCCCTGCCTCCAAAAAAAACGAACAAACAAAATACAAAGGCACAGTGCAGCAGCAGGTGCTGGTGCTAAGTACCAGCAGCGTTTCTGCCCACCCTGCTCACCATTCTGCTGGGTGGACCTCGAGGGCAGCTCCGCCGTGGGGAGGAGGAGAGTGCTTTCTCCGTGCTTAGGCTCAGGAGCTGGGGCTGCTGTTGTCAGCTGCAGGCCTGGAAAGCAAAGGGCAAGGCTGGAGCATGCCCGGAGCAGCAGCTGCCTGGAGGGGAACCAGGCTGCACAGCACAGGGCCAGACGTGCTTGGCAGCCAGATGGGCCGTGACTTCGGAGCAGAGCGCTTCATCTGTGGAAGTGAGCGGCAGGCGTATTTCGGCCTCGCTGGGTCTCCCAGCTGCACAGCGTTGGCTCTGCTGCCAGCCCCGGTGCCGGTTTGTGGCACCCACGCGCCTGATTGCCCATGTGGGTGGGATGAGAGTTGCGTCAGGCACTGCAGTGTGCCCTGACCTGCAGTTGCCTCCTCTCCCTTGGTCACAGAGCCCTCACTCTAGATCTATGGCCACCTAGAGCAGACACTGTCCCAGCTGGAAGCTGGGTGTGGTCATGTGACACATGTCCGGGGCCTGTGTGGGAAGGTGCTTTGTGTGGCTTCCGAAGGGAGGCTCAGCCGGGCGTGGTGGCACACACCTGTAATCCCAGCACTTGGGAGGCTGAGACAGGAGGATCGTTGCGAGTTCAAGACCAGCCTGGGCTACGAAGTGAGTTCAAGGCCAGCCTGAACTGCATAGCGAGACCCTGTCTCAGACCAAAAAAACCAAAAAGATAAAACAACAACGAAAAAACAAAAATGAGGTTCACCAGGTGCAGGGGCGCATTTCCCAGCTCAGGTGGGAGGGTCACGTGAGCCCAGAGGTTTGAGATCAGCCTGGGCAGCACAGCAAAGAAACAAAAAGGAGCATGGCTTTGCCAGCCTGACCCTTCCTGGCTGGGACGGCCATGCCTGCGGGAAGCTGGAGCAGCCCCGACAGGCCCTGAGGATAAAGCCATGAGGAAGAGGATATGTAGTGAACCTCGTTGGCCTCTTGTACCCCGGAGAGAAATGGCAGTGGGTATGAGAAAAATAAAGACAAGAGACAAGAGCTGGGGTCAGGTAGAGTTACCTCTTGCCTGATGAGCAGGAGGACTGACTTCAGCAGTTGGGGCCTTTATTTTATACACTTGCAAAGTTAGTATCATGGGGGGGTAATGCTGCCTAGCAACTAACGACTGTAATTGTCTGGCAGGACACCTTTTTCAATGCTGAGGTAACTTGACTGCTTGACCAATAACCAGCTCCAGTGGCTCCCAGCAAGGATGAACACCAGCCTTGAGGGGCGGAGCCTGGCCAGGCAGCTGCCATGATACTCTGTCTGGACTGACTCCCTACAAATTTTTTTTTCTTTTTATTTTTTTAGGGGGGTTGAACCCAGAACTTTTTAAAAATGATTTTTATTGGTACATTTTAGGAATACAAAAAAAAAAGGAATACACAATGATCACATTCATCACAGAGAAATTGTACCTGTATAGGATATAACTTCATTTTTTTCCCATTCCCCTCCCCATTTACGAAAGCTTTGTTCCTGTTCCCATTTTTTCCTTTTCTTTTTTTTTTGTCTTTTTGAGACAGGGTCTTGCTATGCAGTTCAGGCTGGCCTTGAGCTCACTTTGTAGCCCAGGTTGGTCTCGAACTCACAATAATCCTTCTGCCTCAGCCTCCCTAGTGCTGGGATTACAGGTGTGTGCCACCATGCCTGGCTCCATTTTTTCTTCTTTTCCATTTTTTTACTTTTCCCTTCTTTCCTTTCCTCCTCCCCCTGCTTTGCTCCCCTCCCCATTTGAACATTTTCTTCCTATTTCACAATGTCTATTATACATTTTGGTCCTTATTTACACTTTTGGTTTGTCACACCAGAGAAACAATGTAGATTTACACATGTGTGTCTGATTTATTTCACTTAAGAGTAAGGTCTCAAGGTGCATCCATTTACCTAGAAATATCTTGAGCTTATCCTTCTTTAGGGAAGGGTAGTACTCTACTGTATTAAAAAAAAAAAAAATCTTCTTTATCCGTTCACCAGATGATGGGCATTTGAGCTGTTTCCAAGGGTTGGCTATTACAGACTGTATCACTATAAGCATGAGTGTGCACACATCACTGTAGTATGATGCTTTTCTTTTGGGAAGATACCAAGAAGAGGAATAGCTGTTTCCAATGGAACCTCTAATCCTAGTGTTTTGAGGAATCTCTACACTGATTTCCGCAGTGGTTGCACCCGTCTACACTTCTACCATCAGTGGAGAAGAGTTCCCTTTGCTTACAGTCCTGTCGGCATTTCTTATTGGTTGATTTCTTGATAATA